TTCCCTATGGAAGAAGAGGCCATATTTTTCTTGAAAACTATTTTTAGTTTCATTTTGTATTTCTGTTATAACTTGTTTTTAACCTTGTGAAAGGACCACAGCGTAAGTCGGTTTAAGCTTACATAGATTTAACATCTGATGGTTGTTCTGCTCTTTTGATACTGTAAATAAATGACAGTGTAGTGTGGACTAGATGGGATTGGGTGCTTGAAGCACTCTGCCACTGACTTGTTACGTGGCTTTAAGAAATGTTACAATAATTCATCACACTAATAAGGCAACATTGGCTTCTTCTGTATGTAGTGGTATACGGTTAAATTGTTGTCGTATTTTTTCCATTGCTTTCTGGTATCTTTAGAGATCAAATACAGCCTAAATACCTTAGATCTGTTGCCCATGTTGAAAAGCAGCATGTTACTATAACTCAGTTCGTGTTGTGGTAAGCTTTGTTGGATAGAAGTGGTTATCCTAGTTTGTTTGAGTATATCTTGTTTGAAACAGTACAAAAGAAGGAATGAATGACAGAAATAAAAGCCTCTTGATGATGATAAATGAGTCTTCACATTTTCTAAATTTTCCTGCTATAATTCCAGGGGAAAAAAATCAAATTAAGCAGAAGTCAAACTACTTCTCATTCTTATTAGGTTTGAGAAAACTTATGTTAGATATTTTTGTATGCCGCATTGAAAACAATGTTACTTATGGAGCCTTTCCATTGAGGATTATGTAAAAACATTAAATCTTAAAAGACAAAATACATCTGCTTTTAGGAGATTTTTTTTTTTTGTCTGTATTTCTGATATTGCTTCTGAATAATTTCTTCTGTTTGACTATGTTTACAGTGATTGCTGTCAGTGGTTTCACTGATATCTGGTAGAGTAAGGAAAACTTAATATATATTAAAAAATTCAGTGGAAGTATATCTAATCTGTGTGTTTAAAATCAAAGCTTCAAGTTCATTTCATGGCAGTATTTCTGTAAACTTTCTCAGTCAAAATCTTAATAGTTTCAGGAATTTAAAAATGTCAGTTAAAAGTGCACAATTCAGATGCAGAAATGAGTATTTATAGTTATTAAATCAAAATTTTTAGAATCTGTGAAATATCACTTAGTGTGTTTTAAACAGTTTCAATTATTTGAATCATGCAAGTGATTAAGTGCAAAGACCAAACATAAGTTGCCCGTGGCTTGTATGCAGCCTGCAACTGAAATACAGCTTTGTGTTAGGCTTTCTTCTGCCACTGAAGTCAGGATTCTAGGGTGGTTTCCTCAGAACTTGCTGATGTACATTTTCTTCTAAGGCTGGCTTTTACATTACTTTTAAAAACAAGACAGCTAGTATGAGTCTGTGCATCATATGTCATACTGGTTCCCAGTACACAGTAATTAATAATTAAAGCCATAGCTGAGTATGGAGAGCTTTAAATTTTTTTTTTCCCTTATTTTATGGCTTAGTGGTATATTAGGTCTAAAATTCTTATCATTTTTACATTGGTTCCTAGCTGAATCCACATAGTCTTGATGTTAACTGAATAACACTGACAAGGATAAAACCAAATGATCTGGGAAATGCCAGATGGGCTGTCGCAAGGCTGCTCAGTTTGGAAATGTAATGCCCTGTTGAAATGCAGGCATTAGCTGTGGGACTTGGTCATTTACAGATATGAAGGATGCGTGAGCTTTTCTGTAGGAGTCTCTTAATACAAGAAGCATTTGTGAATCTAGTTTCAGTAGTTTTTAAGTAGATGTCCAGGAATTCTTCATGCAGCTTTCTTGCACTGTTCCAGCCCGGGTAGCCTGAAAACATTACACAGATGCTCTGATTTTAGACTACTGGGAAGGTTTTGATAGAAACACACTTTCCCTCTAGTTACTGCTACCACCTTTGTGTAGTAATTGGCTGTATGACAGTGTCCAATCTGTTATTTACTCTGTTATTTAGAGATATCTGTATCTGTAATGGAAAATCACAAGTTCTGAGCCTCTACATGTGTCAGCTTAATTTCTTGGTTCACGTGAAGCTTCAGTGCATGGTGATGATGATACCCATATGTCTGGAAAGGGATCAGGACTCCTGCTTTTGGGCTCAGTGGAGAGAAGATGTGGTGTTACTGTCAGGTAATGCCTGAAACTAGACAAAGATCCTAACAAAGGATAGTAAAGGCCAGAGCATTGATAAGACAGGGAAGCATCAGTGTTGGGTATGTATACCTTTTCTTATGGTCTAGGATTTCTCATAACACTTTGCCTTTTTCTCTATATGTAATATGCACTAACAGATGATGTAGAAATTGTTTTTTGAGGTGGTGAGAATAACACAGCAGAAAATGTGGAGGTGGTAGGGATCAGATAAGGAGAGGGAGAAGAGAATTCTGTTGCAGCTTCACAGAAGAGTAGGCTTTTTTCTATGACTGTCCACTTCACAGTCATTACGCTTTTTGATGTTTGATGCTTGATTAGCATTTTATATCCATGTCTGTGAAGAAGTTTAAAGAAAGTTGGTCATGTGGACTTTTTTTTATCTGCCTATGCACGTTCCTTTGTAACTCATTTGCCACACATACCGCCTTAGCAATCACAAAAGACATTGCTCTTCCCTTTTGCTTACTCAGATCACTCCCTGTTTGTCACTCCTGGCTCTTGCTTGCATCAAAACTAGGCTGCAAACATCAGGGCTCCTAAGTTCCACTGCACTTCCAATTCAGGGAGATAGACCAGGAAACCTAGAAGATTTTAGACTAAATTCTAGGTTTTTCATTAATTGAGATTAATTTGAGATTCTAACATCGACTCTTCTTGAAGGGTTGTGACAGGTGGGTGGTGCAGCCATCTGTGTTGTTGAAGTGTTGGTTTAGAAAGTCTGGGGAAGGTTTGTTCGATTCTCATGGAAAGAACGAAGGGAATTGAATCATTCCCTGTCTCATCCAGTTAAGTCATCTTTACTAATATCAAGGATTTGATTTCATATATTTGGTCTTTTGCATCTTCTCTGGAAAAGCATATTAAGATTCCTGAGTGCAGGCTCAACCTTGGTGATGATATCCTGAAGTGTGCTGCAGCTGGGAGCTCTAGCAGGAGGGTTGTAACTATTTAAAGACTTTCTGCTAAAGTGGAGAACACATCTGTTTCTGCTCCATGTCTAGCTATGACTTTCACAAGAGCTACACCTAAAGAAGCACACAGCCCACAACCTATGTAGCTTGTGAAAACAAGTTTTGAGGCCATTGAGTCTTGTCTCAAGTTGTAGTTGAGAGCCTCTATGGCCCATCTTAGGAGACAGAGTGAGTTCCAGGCTCTCCTGGTTATGTTTTTTTGCTTGCCTAGTGACAGAACTCTGTTGTTTTCAGTCTCTCTATTTTCCTGTGAGCTACCCTCTCAATCAGGGAACCGGTTTGTTTAGATGCTAAGAAAGCCTTAAAAGTTAGTGTCATAATATAGGAAATCTCTTTTCACTGGTTCATTCCAATAGCATTAAAAAATAATAGCCAAGTAACAGCATTTCATTGCTTTCTAGCTGAAGTTAGACTTTGTATTGGAGGTGGTGGTAAGCACAGTTATGTTCTTTTTACTCGGAAGGTATACAACAAAGATTGGCTTCACAGCTTGTCTTGAGCAGTCCACATTTTATACATCTGTAACCCTGCCGCTTGAAGCTCAATTCATACTTACACAAAAGGTACCTAGACAAGATGCACAGCTTGACTGAAAAAAGAAAAAACTATGATCTTTATGCTGAGGAAGAGAGATTTGCTTATCAGACTCCTCAAAGCCAGAATGCACAGAGGACAGTGGAGGAAAGAGGAAATGTGACTTGCTCTAACATGGATGCTCCCCTTTCTTGAGGTGTATTCACAAATTTGGGTTTGTTGAACATCCTAGCAAAACAGAAATGGAGTGTGTGCTGCTAAGAGCTTTATCTGCTGAATGTTTGGCACCAAAAGGGAAAGGACAGGAGGTGTTAAACTACTTGGAAAAGCATTTCTACCTGAAGGTCCCTTGGCTCCAAAGAATGGGCAAACAATTCCTTTCATTTCTCCTTTTGCTCTGTTTATCTCGATAAGCAGCATCTATTCTCTTATGAATATGAAAGGCACCAGCTGAGCAAGGTATTTTTTGTCATCATTAACAAAGTTTTAACACTGACAGAAGAACAAAAATGGGGACACAGAGGTTCACTTAAAGCACTAACAGACACCACCTGTGCTGGTCTCTTTTGTCTTCTGTTTCCAGAGAAGCCAGCTTAGGGTACTTGCTGGGTTTCCGTTCTAGTCCAGCAAGGCTCTTGGGGCAGTCTCTAATCTAAGGCAGGGAGTGATCCTTATTAGGGGACTTAGATGTCTTGTATCTGGGTGGAAGATGAATCCATTTCTATGACTAGGTCCTTTCTTAACCAAATCTCATAACATCTTACTGATGGGCCAAGAAAATAAGATTACCTGATGGAAATTGTGTTTGATATGTGTCTTTTGCAAAGTACCTTGATATAAAAGCTGTAACTGTGTATTTTTGATATGTTTACAGGGGTGACCCTTCAATTGTGAAACTGAATATTGCTATTACCACAGGCTACCTCATTTCTGGTAACTATGCAATGTGTATATAACACACAAAACCTGTATATTTATATTGAGTCACTATGCCTATATATTTATACTGAGCTGATATGCTGGAGGTGTGGTATGAGTATACAACACAATTTTGGCGGTGGCTTTTAAATGCTAGTGGAGTTGTGGGTTGTGGTGAAATCACAGGATCTTGCCAGCAGATATGAAAGATGGAATATCTCCCCAAGGACTGAGGGAATTGCCACTTTGTGGCTTTATGATGGTTTGATACACAACCACCAACTCCAGCTCAACTTTGTCCTTCAGCCAGTTGAGAAGGTGTTAAAGCAGTGCCCTTCATTGACTTCAAGGTGTCTACAAGTAGTAGCTCTTTTATCATATGTTTCTTCCTGTGACCTCAGAATGCTTGCAGAAGAATTTTAGTAACACTCAATACAAGCTGAGGCAAATAGTACCATAGGATCCTGCCCACCCACCTTTTAGGCTCACTTTAAGACAAACGGTAGTCATGTATAAAACATGAGAAGTTTGAATTATTTTCTTAGTATGGCATTTACCCCTACATATGTTTTGTGTTCTTAATTATTTACTGCCAACTAAAATTGTCATGGGAATTTTGCCACAAAATGCTTTGGAGCTTTTTTTTATGGTGTGTGCGGATAATACTGACTCATCAAAGCAAAAACTTGTGACTTGGACTAGATTTCTTAGCCCAGTGGAACTGATAATCTGGTGATCAACACACTCAGTTAAACTGTGGGTTAGTTTCTGTTTTTTTCCATAAGAACTTCAGCTCCCATATTTAAATTCATTGGTGTCTATTTTTGAATAGTTATGCATTAGACTTTTGTTATGAATTTATGAATGCCTTTGAACAGAGACCTGAACCTGGCCACTCATTCTTTCTCACTTCCTTATGTAGGTAATGTTTAATTATTAATAGGAAGTGGAGCAGCTGTGTCAGATGATGTAGTGTCCTGCCTGAGGATAGCTAATACAAAAAAGATCAAGGTACTCACTGGAGATAGAGAAGGCGTAGGGGTAAAGTCTCTGATTTGGACCCTTGGTCACTAATATTCCAATCTAAAATACTAATTTGGACAAAGCAGGCTCAAAAATTGCTTGTTCCAGTAAAGAAAAGAAAATCTTCTGAAATCTTAGACCATCATGGGAGAAGAATGACAGAACTTTTCTGTCAAAGCTTTCCTTATTATATTAACTCAGGTCTACTATATAATTTTTTGCAATAATTGGAAAATTATGACTAAATTAAGCAAACATTCTTCTTATTCCAAGTGCTCCTTGCAGAGTATTTTTGATACATTGTTCCCTGTGCTACTTTTTGATTCAGCAGTTCCCCATAATAGATCCTTGGATTTATCGCATGTATTTGTGTATCGTCTATGCCCCTTGTAGCTCACACACACACTTTTTTTTGTCACCCGTTCCAAATTTTTGGGTTCGTAAGTGTGAAGTCTTGCTATGAGAGTCAGGATCCATTTTTTCATTCCAAAATATTTCAGCTAAAGCTATTACCTCTGTACTTCCATTTGATGTTGAAAGTAGTAATGTATGGCACTGTTGGAAGAATACTGTTGCTTAATGCTGCGACTAAAGTCTTTGGGATAAAGATGTTCTCTTCAGAGGCAATTAATTCAGAGAGCTTCTGCTGATGCCATATGGTGGTGTTTATAGCTCTAAAACCTAAAGAAACAGTATTCTGAGGTTAATGGTAGTGCATTAAATTGTTACTCATAGTTATTTCTTTTCTCTTGTAGATTTGTTGCTTATTATTTACTACTGGAAGGCAATTGGTGACAAATTTTTTGTACTACATCACTTGGCAGCTCTGTATGCTTACTATTTTGTACTGGTGAGTGCTGTATTTTTCCAGTAATACAACAAGCAGACTGAAGACAATGCTTTTATAGATCTCATTTACTTACTGTTTAAAAAAAGTTCTTTGATGGCTGGTGTATTAGCTTTGTGAAAGGTGTATTTATATTTTCAATCCACATTACTTTCTATATATATGGTTTTATCAGTCATTTGTGGTTAAGTGCATGCGTTTCAATGTCAGAATCCTTCAACAAATACGAGTAACTTTACTGCTGAAATAAAAACTGTTCTTGCTTTTTGCTGTAGAGAGATGTTGACAGAGAGGCTTTTCACATGGTTATAGAAGAGTGTTTAAAAAAAAACCCACAAGTCTGAATATTCAGTTGGAAAAATAGAAGGAAATGGTTTCAAGTCATTACATTCTGCTTGTGACTATTTGCAAGGCCATAGGTCAATGATCCCTAGCTGTGGTGGATGTACTGCAATCAGCTGGGTGTTTTTTTCTGGGATGCAGGTGTTTGTTTTTTTTTTTTATTTTCCCCCTCTTCTGTTTCTAACTCTGTTATGACACTGAGTGATCCCCTGAGACTTCCTGTTTATGGCTACTTTGGTGGGGAAACAATGAGTGATTATATATCTAGAAATATGTGGTGTACATACATTGAAGGAAAAAGGAGAAGAGAAGGGTACTGTTCTAGGATAAAGACCAACTTAGTTACTCTTTGCTGCTGCTGGAATTTCTCAAAGAGATGCATGTGTGACTTGGTAGAAATCCCACTGACCTCCAGAATAATGCTTTTGCATTTCTTCTGAAAAGTTCACTCAGTAAATAAAGAAATCTTATAAAATACAGTTTATTTCATCTACCACATTTCTTTTCCTTGCCTACTGTGTGAATCCCAGGCTTACAATATTAAAAGTGTCAAGATGCCAGATCACTCTCAGATTTGCCACGTATGGTTTGAAGGAGATGAAGTATACTGACAAGTAAATACTCTGTTTCGGGTTGAAGATAATTAGATCTACTGATATTATAATGGATGAAAATTAATTAGAGCTGAATATTAGAGAAATGAAAATACCACTACCAAGGCTATTCGCTGCTGCAGAAAATGCATTAGTAGTTCTTGGAGTAAATAGGAAGCATAGTGTCAGTGTGAACTTCTTTTTGAGCAGTGCTTATTATTTGACTATAGCTCTGCCCTTGGATGCTTGTGTGTTACTCTCATTCTCTAATATTCAGAGAAAGTTACTCAGGAGCATCTTATTTCAAAAATTGCTCTTGAAGATAGCAGAGAATTTGATTAAGAACACAGATTTTCTGTTTGATGTGAACTGACATGAAATGCCTGAAGTAGCAGGTATTAGCACACTCGGTGGGGGAAAGAGGAGTCATGACACATACTCCATTTTTGTTTTTTTGGAGACCCCCCTGAAATTTTTTTAAAAAATAAAAATCTTTTTTATCTCTACATCGGCAAACTGCTGCTTACCCTGCCCTTGTGTAGTGGGATACTGTCGTTACCGACACTTGAACCCCGGGATCGCGGCAACTCAACCTCTGCCGTTGAGGGTCATCGAGTTGCCGCGATCCCGGGTCCCAGTGCTGGTGACAACAAGATACTATTTCCAGCACAAGCAAACAATAAGGCAGGGGTATGTTGTACTTTGTCAGGTGGGGTAGGTGCTCGGTTACAAAGCGTATGGGTGTACATGTACCACACAGTTATCTGGATACCTGCCTGGAGAAGATGTGCTCTTCTTCCACCCCACAGGGCACAGCAGGCACTGCAACAGAGCTGGTGGAAAGGTTTCCACTGCAGTGGAGAGGAAAGGAGAAAGAGCTTCATGTGCCCCTTCTGCTGCCAAATAAGAGCTGGGAAAATTTGTCGTCGCTCTGGCAAATTATTTTCCTAAAACAATGCAGGGACACTTTTCCTTAGTTTACAGTGTTTCTGTTTGGGCTTCTTTAAACACTGAGAAATAAAAAATATTTATAATTGTGGAATTATAAATTATAAAAGAATTAGAGAAATTGTAGAATTATGAATTATAAAAGTAGAATCATTATAATTATAACGTATGACTATCTGTGCCAGTCCTCTCTAGCTAGCTTTCCATGGCTACTTAACTGCAAGTCGTTTAAAGATTTATTTAAAGGAATTACTGATTCGAGATACCTAAGGGAGAATTGCAGCTTTTTCAGCTTTCTACTCCAAACCAGGACAAAACCTTATTTTGCAATGGTAAGGAAGCTGGCCACATCTGGCAGACTGACTTACTCTCAGTTGTAATAAAGAAGTTGAGACATTGTAGAATACTGTGTATACTTGAAGACTTTAATCAAGATTTCACATCTACATTGTTGATTTTTGTGTGTCTTGTTTTGTTTTGCTAACCAGAGCAAAGGTCTGTTGGCTTATTTTGGAAACTTCCGTCTGCTTGCAGAGTTCTCCACTCCTTTTGTCAATCAACGGTAAGTGGTTAGGCAATTTTTGCACAGTTCTTTTACATTTTAATCTGTATTATTATTTCTGTCACTTTGGAAGTTTGTTGTCGTGTATCTGCTGAAAAGGAATTTCTATATAGTGAACTAAGAATTTCTGTCTGGAAACCTTTTTTGCTATGAAAACTTCTTGCTGCTGTAGCTGCACCAGTGTAACTAATGTATATATTATCCCCTAGTTCCTTTTCAGAGTAGACCAGCCTTCATATGAAATGTCAAGTTTTTATGAAACTACTGATCAAAAAAGTTCACAACTATAATATTGTTTATTAGCCTTTGTGTGTTCATTTCATTTTTAGAATAAAGCCATCATTTACAATAAGGATATATTTTTAGGATCATGGACTAGGAAAAAGAAGCAAGATTCTTTTTCATTTGAATCCTAGAATGGAATTGCATTGCCCTAGATAATTTGAAGTTTATTTTGCAGTACTGCACATATATAAATCAGTATTAATATATGTGTATGAATACATAGAACAGTACAAATGTATATTCTTTATTTACTTTCAAAAATAGTTCTGGAAATTATTTTGAGCGTTTTTGAGCACTAGAAAAATAGTAAAGCACCAAAATATATCTGGTGTGGTTAGTCAGTGAAGAAAGTGGCAGAAGGCTTTTTTGCAGAGCTCAGTGAGGGTCGAGGCCTGCCATAGCTTCTGGTTATAGTGTTGCTGTGAGAATTGCTCCTGTGAGTACCTGAAAAGGACCAGGATAGTGCCACATACCACAGGTACAGGAAAGCAGGGTGGCCTCTCTCCTTACTCTGCAGCCACCATGGCCCAGCTGGGACAGAGCTTTGTCCCCAGAGAAAGGGTAAGGTTTGTAAGGCAGATAGAAACTGTAATCCTCCTGCAAACAGGGTATCTGAGTGTTACTCACTGCTGCATTGTGGCTGTAAACTCTGAAATATTTTATGAGACTGTTGCATTCCTCAGGTCTCTACGAATAAAAAAGATTGTGCTGAGATCTCTTTAGAAGGTTACCCTGGCAAATTCAACTTACAGGAGGGCAGGGTGGGATAAGGGAGCTCTCCAGAGAATGGTTGCATTTGCCCACGTGCAGCTGAGTAGGAGATTATAGTCTAATGTGGTCTGTGCTATGTGTGCGCAGAGAAACTAAAGAGCAAATAAACATCTCTTTAAACTTATTTTAGTAATACAAGGAAGAGGAGAATAAGAAAATGGAAAAAAGGTGGTATGATGTTCTAGGTTTCTGTATTAAAATTCATGTCCTAGTGAATGGCCATTCTTTCAACTGACTTCTACCAAAACACAGGATTTCATCCTGGGTTTAAGTGGTACCTACACTTATGTCTGCTTTTCAGACTGTGATGTTAGGAAATGACATATCTGGCTATTAAAAGCAATATGTTATATTTTTTAAATGCCTATGGTGAGATAACATGCCTTTGAATACCAGCATTCACTGTTTTCTCAGAAAAATGGAAATGACTGTAAGAGATAAAGTCCCTTGCACTAAGGGATGTCATCTCATTAGGGCATGAATGTGGTGGGTTGTTGTTGTTTTTTTTTTTAACATAAAATTTGAAGAGAACCAGACCCTTAAGAAGTAAGTAGTGGATAAGACATACATTGTTTCTTGTCTGCATTCTTAGGATAGCCTAAAGAACTATTAAAATATATAATTAGATTCTAATCTAAGAATTGTCTGTGTATTTCCTGTCTGCATTGTTAGTGATATCTAATTGGAGATTGTCTCCATGTCAAGCATTCACATCTTTTAATGTCCTTATCACCACTTATTTAATTATGAATTGTGGTAGGTAAAATTGTAATGATAACTGTGAATTACTGATTTTTTTTTTTTAAATTTGCTGGGAGAGGGAAGCTGCTAAGCAGATGTCCAGTTACCTATACTGGCACATTGCAGTATATTTTAAAACTAGTTTTTATATTACTTTTTGAATCTGCATTGTATATATGAAAGGAAGTACAGGCTCTGATTTTCAGTCTGAGCAAATACGTCAGGTCTCTGTTCATAATGGCAGTAAGTGTTTCTGTGCTGAGGCATCCTGCTTCCAGGCTGGACTGGCACCTTGAATGCCTGGATTTTTGTCTCAGTTGCACTCTTAATGAATTCCTGGAGTATTTCTGTTAAAGCTGGCTACCTGGAAAACCTTTTTAGTGTATCTATCATTACCTAGCTTGTAATCTGTAGACAGTTAAAAATTATTTTTAAAACCAGGTTTATAACTGCTCTTTTGTTAAATAGTTTTACCCTTGCATCTTCTTGGAAACAAACTGATTATTGCATTTCCTCTCCCCATCCCAAATACAGTGATTTAAGTAATTTTCCTCCAGACCTGTCTTTAACTTGACACTGTTGCACAAGTCTTCCTTGTGTTTATTCTGGTTTAAGTGTGAATGATAAAGAGTTAAAGGATTTTGCTCCTTTTTATATAGGAATTCATCCCACAGGTTCTGTGTGCTAGGGAATAGATAAGTTCTGTCTGTCTGCTAAGGAGTTAATATGCAGGATAGTGTTTGGTGTTTTGTTTTTTTTTTTTTTCAAGACCACTTATGACCCAGTAGTAGTAGTGGAAGAGGTGGGTTTTAGAATTATCTTTTTCATTACATAACATACCTAGCTGTGACATGGCTTGCAGTGGTAGGACAAGGGATAGTGGGTTCAAACTGAAAGAGGGTAGATTTAGATTAGAAATTAGGAAGAAGTTCTTCACTGTGAGGGTGATGAGACACCAGAACAGATTGCCCAGGGAAGTTGTGGATGCTCCATCGCTGGAAGTGTTCAAGACCAGGTTGGATGGGGCCTTGCACAACCTGGCCTAGTGGGAGATGCCCCTGCCTGTGGCACAGGGGTTGGAACTAGATGATCTTTAAGGTCCCTTCCAACCCAAACCATTCTGTGATCAAGTGCCGTTTACAATGTCTGGTTCTGAAACTCTGGTTTTGGGCTGACAGAACAGTAAGAAAATCCCAAATCTGAGAAACTGGAAATTAGAGCTCTGTCTAGATTAGAACAAAAACCAAAATGCAGTCAAGCGTAATAATTTGCAACTAAGCCAAGACACAGTGCAATAATTTAGTAATTATAAAGGTAAAAGCAATTAATTTATTAAAAAAATGAAATTATTTTTAATGAGATGGCTTCAAGTCTGCCTGGTATCTGTGAGCACTTCTTTTGCAGGTGGTTTTTTGAAGTACTGGGATATCCCAAATCTTCAAAGGCCAACATCATCAATGGTGTGCTGATGACAGTTGTGTTCTTCGTGGTGAGGATTGCCGTCATGCCTATATATTACAGCCATGTAATTTCTTCATTTGGAACAGAGGCTTTCCAGAGATTAGGATTTGCAGCCCAGAGCGCCTGGATTATCTCCAGTGTTGTCTTGGATGTTATGAATGTGATGTGGATGTTCAAAATTGCAAAAGGATGCTACAAAGTCATTTGTCTTATCGGACGGGAGGAAGCCAAAACCCATAGAAATGGAAAATCTGACTAGAAATCACATGCATAAAATGAAATTTCTGCTATGAAAATAATTTGGGTTCACTGAAACAGTGCACGTTTCTGCCATGGAATGCTCCTCTTAAGGAACCAAGGTATTACCTCTGTACTGACCTTACTCTTCCCCTAGCCACACTGCCTGCACACCCAGGGCCACGCTTTACGGATCCTGTCTGGTGAAGAATAAAAGCAAAAGCTCACACAACTGAGTTCCACGTGTCTGTTCTAAGCTTTTCCAAGAGACTGACATAAGAAAGGAGAAGACTGGTTACCTGCTTGTTGTCCACCAGTGTGTTCAAAGTGTTTCACTCAGGTTTCTCAGATTAACGTGTTTTATAAATCCTGTGAATACTGACATTTCTTTTTTTTAGAAAACAAACAAAAAAAAAACAACCCAAACTCCTGGTATGGTGCAATTTTCCTGGCACGTTTCTATGTTTTCTTCTAGGAATAACAAACAGGATTTCACTCTTGACAACTTTTTAATTTTTGCAAGAAAAGCTAAAAATTTAGTTTTGATTGTGTGAAGTCTTTTACCGCTTTTTGTTCTGCCTTATATGAATGCAAACTGTTTTAGGAAATGTATGAAATAATTTTATCTAAAATGCTGTATTATAAGGCTAAAGAATATCTTAAAAATTGTTAAAATTGTCTGATTTTGATGGGAAGGGTTCACTTTTGCTGTGTTAGGTTACATGTGATAATACATCTTCTAAATTGCCTATGGAATTTTTTTTTGTAGTGTGGTAAATGATGTGTGGAAACAGCATAATTCTTACTGGAGTGCTATTTCTTTTGCTGCTACTATCTTTGAGAAGTGCTGCAACTCTCAGAGTATGTTAACCATTCACTATTTGGATGCTAAATTTAACTGTGAAGAGAAAATTCTTCTGTCTATGTGATGTCTAATTTATATTAATACTTTTTTTCTTCTATCTCAGAAATGGCCCGTTTGATATGAAGTGTTGAGATTTTTTTTTTTTGGCACATTTTTCCTTCTTAATCATATCATAAATTTGAGATGTGACTACAAATCTTCTAGGATTAATTGTGCCAAACTTTTAAGGCTGTACAGTAATTCTGTAGAATGGCAGTTCACTTCTGTAGGCACAACATTTTATTTTATTTTTAAACCATGTATTTGTCAGTAGGTACTCTGTCCCTTCTTCTGCAAACACAGAGGTTTGGAGGGCATCAGAGAGGAATCTGACCATTTAGGAATAATCTGGAATCTAATTTACAATAGAATTTGAGGAAAATCTGGGGGGCTATTTATTTTTAAATGATTTTGAGAGCTGTATTTGTTTGGTTTTGTTTTGCCTACTTTAAACCATATCTGAGTTGGAATTTATTAACTTCTTGGCTTTGCCTTGGTGTGGGTTTTATTTGGTTGGGGGTTTTTTGTTGGTTTCTGTGGGAGTTTTTTTTGACGTGTTATTTGTTATACCTTTGGGTAAGGTGTGATAAAAGCATCCATTTTTATTTGGTACTTTAGTGCACATCCCAACTATTGTAGCACATGAAGCAACTTATTTTTAAACAAACCCATAAAATATTCACCCTGTGTAGGGTAACTAGTTCTCCTTTTGTCCTGTTCCCTCTAACAAAGCTGGGTCACATGAACTCTCCCCTCTGTAGTCAGAGGTGTGAGTGCCCCAATACTAGGCTCCTGGCCAAGGGACGCAGTGTTCTCATTTTCCAGGAACTGGATGTCTGCAAGACCTCAAGAGGATGTAGGTTCAGATGCCCTTCTAACCAGGGTGGCTGCAGTGAGGTTAGTTCCCCAGATGAAATGATGTCAGGGAGTATTGTTTGGGCTGGAGCAACACGCACATTTGTAATCCATGTTCCACTGTTTAACTGGGGAGGCTTTTTTTCCAAAACTGTTTCCCAACCCTGCCTTGTCATGAGAGATATCAAGGACTGGTAATACTACTTTCCCCCCACCCCATTCTGTGCTTACTAATACCTCACAAGCCTGCAGACAAAAGTTCTGTTTGTGCCTTGGGAAGATTAACAACTAATCTGTTTAGCTGTATGATTCGAGTGAGCGCAGTACTTCATTGCGTACCAGTAAATCCATACTCTTTCAGAGCTGATCCTATGACCTGCTTTGCTGAAAGAAACAAGACTCCCTTTTATACTAATTTGCAAAACCTGGTTATCTTGTAAAACAGTAATTTCAGTGTATCTATTGCAAAATCTAGGCTATGTACAAAGGCTTTGTTTTTATCACTTTTATGATTTAAAGGTGTCCGTGAAATACTTTTTTCTTGCGAAGGCGCTAGATCAGGGGATCATTTTGTAACAGCTTACTCCTTTCTAAAACAAATTTTAAATGGAGTAAACTCAAACTTTTTTAAAAACATGTTTGAAAGTAGAAGTCTGGTTTTGTTATTCAGGAAGTAGGATGAGAAGAAATTAAGATTATTTGGAGCAAATCCTAAAGTGATAACTCATGAAAACTTTTAGAAATTCATCCCTTCTTAGAATTAATCTTCAGTATTTTTTTGTTTTCAGTAGAGAACATTCATTAGAATGGTCCATTTCCTTCATTTCTACATAGACTCTTGTGTGATAGGAAAACAAAATGTTAAGCTATAAGAAAATTGTTAAAACTAGATTGAGAAAAACACCAAACATCTAAACTCCATCATGAAGTTTTGGCAACAATCCAGAATGGAAGGGTAGTACAATAATTATTTAAAACATGTAATATTTTGGATGGCTGCACAAAGTTAGTGTAATTAATGTTTTAAAGGATTAGGTTTAAATTTTCTTTTTTTTTTAGTGTATTACAGTTACGTCCTGATGCATCTGCATGTGTCAGAAGACCACTTTCTAATGAAAGAAATTATTAACACTTGGGTATTTGGCAAGGACTGTAGTAAACAGGCTGTAAAGTTGCGATGTACTGAATACATTCTTACAGGGCACTTTTTACCTGCCATTAAAAGCTTATAATACAGCAAATTAGATAGCTGCGGCACCCATTTTTCAACTGCACTTTATTAATTTTAAAAACCGGTGAAATATTGATGGAATTTAATGTTGCAAGCTTGTGTCTTTGCTTTTTTATGCAAAAAAAAAAAAGTAAATGCATGATAAATGGCATTGCAATAAATGCTACCTTTAGAATGTAATATTATCTTATTAGTGGCTTAAACCTTCTGTTTTTTAACAGATGCATTGTCTAGTGTAAACACAACATTTTTATATGTCATCGGGTGTCTTTGTCATGGCTGTATCACAGGGAAGGTGTTCATCTTGTGAAAAATGCTCAGATACCTTGTTTTTCTTTTCTTCCAATGTCTTCGGTACCAGGTGAGGTACAATTAGCACGATGATCATGCGGGAGTCAGGTTGTCCCGGTAAGGCCGTAGGTAGGAACGCACGCGGCCCTTTTTAATGGCTTTACGTTGTCCTCAAAAGATGACAAAAAGATGATCACTTTCAGCGCTATTGCAGAGGAATGGTAGGTCAAGTTTTGCTTTTATAATTGATTTGTGGATACAGTTCTTGCAGAGAGGAAATGTGCTTCAGATGCTCATTTTCTCTGTGAGTGTTCCAGTGGATTTCATTGAAGGCGAGAGCCGTGCGCTACGGAGATGCTTTATGGGTTATCTGTGCGTGTTCTTCAGTGGCAAGAACTGCATCTCTGAAGCCTACTCTACCTCCATAAATACATGCTGTGTTGAGCGAGCTCAATAATTTAATAACGTAATTGCTTAAAACATAGAATCTATTGAATAATGAAAAATATCCTATGCACGGGGAAAATGAGGGGAGCTGACTTTATACAGAAAATCTTCACAATTCCAAATTTTGTATTAAAATTTCTTAAACATTAAATTAATTACAGTGTCTGGAAGAGAGTTACTTCCATCTTAGAAAATTATAGGAGAGATTACTCATACTGCAGAACTCACATAAACCTAAAAGCCTACACAGGTGAGCAGATGCATTCAGGCACGTTTCTAGAGGAGAGGTGGAGGAGACTTTGAGAACACAGGTATAGACATCCAGATGTCTTCCTACTAATGTGTTTGGGATAACAGCAGACTGATACGCATCCAAAAAGTTTAGGTATTTCTGTGTCTCTGTTCACAGTGGAAAATGAAACTTTGTTCTTTAAAATTTTCAAGCTGTATAAAATGGGTTATCAGTTGTTGATTGCTGTATGAAGAGGACTTGTTCTCATGGATTTGTTTGGGTTTAGGTATATGTGCACACAAGCTTTCTGTAAAAGATCACTTTAATACAGAAGTCTGTAAATTTGTTTTGTGATGCTTCACCTGAGCCATTCAGAGGAAAATAAAGGGCTGCCTGATAGTAACTCCAGCTTAGGATCTGTTGCAGTGTTGACTGCTGGTGAAAGCCATCAATAAAGCAAATAAAGGGACTAGAATTTTCAGATAAAAAAATGCAAGTGTAGAAGACTTTGAAAAATATGGGCAGCCCTCTTTCACATTTTTAATAGCCTACTGTACATCGTTATCTGGCTACAAGGAACTTCATGAGGAAGGATTTGTTCCTGATGGAGTTTCTCTGTCTATGGAATATATCTGACGGCTGGAAAAAGAACAGTACTTCATTGATGAGATCCTGACAGCAATCAAATGGAAATAGCGATCAATATTTATGAATTTTAACATTCATCCAAACCCGGGCAAAGTCTCTTTGTTGGGCAAGTGAAGGTCTTAGCATTTTCTGAAAGGAACTTGAAAATTATTTTTATGGTAGAGAAGATGAAAGGTGTGTTGCTTGGAATGTTTAGAGACCTGGGATTAAGCATCAAATCATACTTTTAGATGATAACGCTTGGTAAAGGTTTCTTACCCATTACAAATCTTTACTAGCTACCTCCTTTGACTTTCTTGCTCTGTTTATAACCACCAAGTACTTTATAGCTCAGTAAAGAATGGAAGGTAGCTATGAAGAATAAAATATTTTGGCAAAATTTCTTCTGAGGTCACTTTTGTTATGTGATGTTCTGCACTGAGAGGGCATCTGATTCTAATGATGTATATAAATTTCTAATCTAGTTGTACTGTAAAGGAAATGTCTTTAAGGGAGTGGATTATGAAGAGTTCAGCATGGCTT